ATCTTTAATAATGACTAAATCACCTTGGCATAGATTTGCCTTTTGTTGTTTCCATTTGTACCTTGATTGGAGTTCATTGAGATATTCCTTTGACCATCTTCTCCAGAATTCTTGTTTGAGTTCAGAAACTAGACGCCATCGTGATGATAAACTCATTCGGCTCTCCTTTTGATAGGGATCCACATTAGTGGTAAGTGGTTCGCCTATGAGAAAGTGTCCTGGTGTAAGCGCTGTTAGATCATTTGGATCGGATGACATTTTTGTTATTGGCCTTGAATTTAACATGGCTTCTATTTCAGTTATGACTGTTGTCAATTCTTCATAAGTCAATGAAGCGTTGAAAATTCCTTTAATCATTAAATGTTTAGCTGACTTGACGGCAGCTTCCCAGAGTCCTCCAAAATGAGGAGCTCTTGGTGGAATGAATTTGAAGTCAATTCCCTTGTTACTACTGGTCTTAATGATCTTTTCTTTACCATTTTCTGAATAAGTGGTAGACTGGAGCTCTTGTAGTTGGTTTCTCGCCCCAACAAAGTTAGTCGCATTGTCACTATAAATTGTTTGGCATCTTCCTCTTCTGCTGATAAAACGTTGAATAGCGGCTATGAATGCCTCTGTTGTCAGGTCACTCACCACTTCTAGGTGAACAGCCTTAGTCGCGAAACAGCAAAATACTGCTAAATATGCCTTTGTTGGCCTTTTTCCTCTAATTTTATAATGAATCCATATCGGACCACAGTAATCAACTCCTGTGGTAAAAAATGGTTTAGTCAGAGTAACTCGATCAGTCGGTAAATTGCCCATGAGTTGGTCAATCAGTTTTGGTTTTGCCTTTGAACAGATGACACAGGTGTGAACAATGTTTCGCGCCATAATCTTTCCTTTAATCGGCCAGAAGTTTTGTCTCATTGTGCTTAGCAATAATTGTGGGGCACAATGGGAATTTTCTTCATGTTTCATTTTGAACATCAATTTCACTATTGAGTGATTGTAAGGAATTACCATTGGGTGTTTAGCATCATATGGCAATGTTGATGCTTCAAGCCTTCCTCCAACACGAAGTACACCTTGTTCGTCAATGAACGGTGCTAAAATATTTAGTTGACTCGAACTGTTGATTGCTTTACATTGTTTTAAGTCAGAGATTTCCTTTGCAAATTCTGAGCCCTGAATAGTTTTAATTATGAAGACTAATGCATCTCGTAATTCCTTTGGAGAAAGTGTTCTTGTTGGTGATTGTGTGCGATGAAATACACGGCGAACATAACCAATTGTTCTTTGGAGGTATCTGAATGAGTTTCGATGATCAATTTGATTTATCATGTGATCAGAACCAGTTGTTTGAATGATAATGTTAACTGTATGTCCTTGTCGTCTTTCGATATCGGTTGAGATGTTAAATGCCTTTGGGTTTGGCTGTTGCCAAAATTCGTTGCCTCCATGAAGGAAGAGTGGACCAAAAAACCATATATGTGAATAATTGAACATTTTAACTTTCATTCCTCTGGAAATGATGTCAGCAGGATTATCCTTTGACGCCACATGATGCCATTGATCAGCAAGTGACATCTCTTGAATTTTGCTAATACGATTTGCTACGAATGTGTGCAATGAGGCAGATGAAGATAGTATCCATGACAAAACAATTTCGGAATCGGACCAAAAGTAGGTTGGCACGTTTTGATACTTTAAATCTTGTTTAACTCTTTCTGCTAATTCGACTCCCAGCAATGCTGCGCAGAGTTCTAGTCGTGGAAGTGTCTGTTTCTTTAATGGTGTTATTCTAGATTTGGCGCACAATAGTCTCGATGTTATTGTCTTATCATTATATATTGCTCGCACGTACATAGCTGCTCCATATGCCTTCTCTGATGCATCCGTAAACACGTGTAATTGAATCGAACAGGGAACCGTCGAATTAAAAATATGTCTGGGTACTTTCACAGTATTTAATGTTTGTAAGTCATTTCTAAAACGCTTCCATTCTAGCTGAGCCTGAGGTAACAGTTCCGCATCCCAGGAATAGTTTTGTTGCCACAATTCCTGCATGAATATTTTAGCTGTTACAGTAATGGGGCCAAAAATTCCCAAAGGATCAAAAATTCGAGCTAAGTCCGATGCCACAATCCGCTTCGTGATAGGTTGCTCTGATGACATCTCTGCCTTTCCGCAAAATTCGTCTGATTTCGGGAGCCAAATAATGCCTAATGTTTTTGTTGGCTTTATGGCTGAGTCATCTAAATCAAGGTTGATTTCTTGGTCTTCTATCGGAATGTTTTGTAGGAGTCGTGTATTATTTGAGCACCATTTCCTCAGCTTAAATCCTGATTTACTGAGCAGTTCCGTAAGTTGTTGTTGAGTGTCTAAGGCGGTAATGATGCTGTTAGTTCCGCTTAAACAGTCATCTACATAAAAATCATTAAGTAATGCAGGTGCTCCAAGCGGATAGTTGGTCATATTATGTTTCGCAAGGTGTTGAAGACATTTTGTTGCAAGATAAGGGGCTGACTTCGTTCCATATGTAACCGTTTTTAGTCGGTAATATTGTATACTATCATCAGCACTTTTTCTCCAGATTGTCAGCTGCTGTGCTGTATCTTCATCATGTACTTGAATTTGCCGGTACATTTTCTCAATATCAGCCGTAAATACAAACCGGTGTATTCTAAAACGCAACAGTATTGAAAAAAGATCACTTTGCACTGTTGGACCTTTGTGCAAAATATCGTTTAGTGCTAAACCGCTTGATGTTTTTGCTGATGCATAAAAGACAACTCTCAATTTGGTTGTAGTGCTGTCAGGTTTCAAGACACAATGATGAGGAATGAAATATTGTGCTCCTTTGACATCTTTCGGGCAAACCTTTTCCATGTGACCTAATGACTCGTAGTCATCCATGAACTTTATGTACTCCTTGTATAAATTTGGGTCCCTTTGTAACTTCCTTTCCAGAGAACAAAATCGATTGAATGCTATCTCACGCGATCTACCAAGTGTTGTGGGATCTTCGCGGAAAGGTAAGCGTACAATGAAACGACCATCGTGATTTGTCTTTACATGATTTGTAAAGTGATTTTCACACCATTTCTCAGATAAAGTCAAAACCCTTTCTGCAGTCTCAATGTTATCTAACTTCCAAAATCGTTCTATCATTTCTGACATTTCACCAACTTCTCCTGTAGTAATAGCGCATGTTGGTTTAATATCTGTTGTAGTTTTAGTCTTACCAACCATCAACCAACCTAGAACCGAATTTTGTAACAGTGGCGAATTCTTTCCTATTATCAATTGTTCTGGTTGAAGTAGAGTATGAAAGAATTCAGCACCAATCAGCATGTCAATTCTTCCAGATCTGTTAAAGCTGGGGTCTGCTAATTCTACATTCTGTGGGATCTGCCAATCCGAAATATCTAGGTCTCGTGACGGTTGTGCTGATATTTTCTGTGGCAATACAAATGCCTCTAGTCTCGTCCTGAAGCTTCCATTAGTAGCCTGCAGTTCAACATTTACGCGAGATTTTGAGTTCCCGAATTGACGGCCAATACCTTCGATCGATAGATTTGAATTTGTGGTAATTAAAGATAACTTGTTGATTACTCTTTGGGTTACTAGGTTCACTTGAGAACCTGAGTCGAGTATGGCACGAACATCACACGTTCGTCCATTGTTTGCAATAATGCGCACCTTTGCAGTGGCTAGCAGAACGTAATTACGAGTACCCTTTGCATTAGTTGTTGCTGTTATGGATGGCGATTCATTAGCGTTGAAGGTGACTGTTTAGGTGACTGTTGCTCTAAATGAAGCAAAGTGTTATGCTTCTTGGCACATTTTTTACATGATCCAGCTTCACAAACCTTTGCTTTATGATCGGATTTGAAACAATTCACACATAGTTTTTGTCGTTGAATCCAATTTAATCGTTCAGGAGGAGTCATTTCAATGAATTTTTTGCAATAGTAGATCGGATGTTTATCTGTGTTACAAACTTTACATAGATCTGAACAAACCATAGTTACGGCTATCCTTTTGTTGGGTTTATATACTGCATTGTCTCGTAGACCTATAGCCTCAAGTGACTGAAATTTCAATTCTAAAAATTCTAAGAATTGTTTTATTGTGGGCATCTCCCTTGGGTTAGTAAGAGTTTGTTCAAAACTGCAATGTGTATTTTTATCCAACTTTTTTAGTAGTATGTGAACTAAAATTGGATCCCAAGTTGATGTTTCAATATTTAAATTATGAAGTTCACATAGACTTTCCTTTGTTGTGTCATGCATATTTTTAATGGCTTGGACTGTTGGATGGTCATATAAAGAGTTTTCAGCTGTCAAACGTTGCAAAACTGCTGATACTAGAACTCTTTTATTCTCATATCTACTTTGTAGTAATTGCCATGCAGTCTCATAATTTGCATCTGATATTTGCAAATGCTTGATGAGTGCTTCAGCTTCGCCTTGAATATTGGTTTTCAAATACCAGAGTTTCTGTGAGTCTGATATTCTTTGATTGTGTATCAGTTGTGCAAACAGATCACTGAATTGTCGCCAACTCAAATAATCTCCACTGAACTTTAGAAGAGATATTGTTGGCAAAGTAGCCGATGGTTGATAAGTTGACCTAATTGATGTCTCAATCTTGGTCGACTTACTAGTCCATTCCACCATTGTATCTTGCACCAACTGTTCCAGTGCTAGATAATGATTGCAATCAGGAGGGTTGTCTTGCCGTTCCTGAATAGTAAAATTTAAACCTTCAGCCTGATCCCATAACTTGGTAAGCGTAGCTAATTTTACTGCAAAATATTGTGGTACCTGTTGCTGGTTATCTTGTCTCACATTGTGGATGAGACGATTGATTGATTTACACACTGCATTTCGTCTGTTGACTAATGCCTGAATAATTTCATTCTCTTGACCACCAGTAGGTAATACTATTTCAGGAGCTTCAACATCATTATTTATCTGAAGGTCCAACCCCTTTATTGTTGATGGTTGAGCCTTAAGGGGTAATGCTTCCAGCTCTTGAGTTATTGTGGTGATATATTTGTTACCCAAATTTATGATTACCATGCCGTAATCTTGTGTGAAATATTCCGATGTTCTTGCTAGTACATCGGCTTGTTGTAGTCGCTCATCATTAGCCTTGAAGTCAGCTAATAACTGTTCTAAAGTTGTTTTACGATCTTCGAGATATTGACGTGTTTTCCTGCTGGGTGAGTCCTTCTTGAAGTTGCGAATGATTCTGTCGATCTCTGAACCAATTGAATCAATTGAATCAATATCCACTTTATCTGAATCCTGCTGGTCAGTTAAAGTGGATATTGATTTTGGATCCATGGTTATTTGGATCCTGCTGGTCAGTTAAAGTGGATATTGATTTTGGATCCATGGTTATTGTATTTCCGTTGAAAAAAGTTGTTTTCAATGGAGGTTTTTGTAAACGCTGCTGGTACACACTGAGTTGCTCTTGCCAATCACGTCGGGGTCACCAATGTACTACCACGTAATCTGAGGTGATATCAAATAATGTATTTTCTTACTTCGTTACACTGACTATTAGGCACATAAACCAATAATCAGGTATTTATGACGAAAGGCTTGCAGGCACATAAACCGCTAGCCAAGTAAGTAAATAAATTTTATTTACTTGCTATAGTGGTTAAAAGGCACATCTACCAATAACCAAATTTTGTTTTTGAAGGAAAGACGATTGTTTTCGCTCTCGAGTTTTATTATCAATATTGTTACCTTATATAGTATAGAATTACTTACTAAACATAATAATATTTACAATTATTGATAACTAAAATAATAATTTAAATTTCACATATTGCTGCATAAACATAAATACAATATGTGAAGCTATTGAACTTATAAACGTAAACAATGTATTTAATATTTACAATATTTATTTGCTGCATAAGTGTAACTACAAGCGAGCTAAAATATGTTAGGTTTGTTAAACTTACAAGGCGCTTAAAAGAAATGGATTCGAGAACTTCATAGTAGCATGGATTGGCAGAATGCTTGAAAGCAGAGTCATCAACGCTAATATAGGAGCAGGCTCCGTGACCAGGAGGACTACAAGGGGCAACCCACAGGGAGGAGTATTATCACCCCTTCTCTGACTCTTGGTAGTTGACGAAATCTTGCAAATCTTTAGGGCTAGGAAAACAAAGGTTGTTGCCTACGCCGATGATGTTACTATCCTAATCTCAGGCAAATACTTGTCAACGATTAGTGACCTAATGGAATCGGCACTTGGTGAAATCTCCAGGTGGGCCAAAAGCAATGGTTTAGGGATTAATCCTACTAAGGCAGAGTTTGTCTTGTTCACACGGAAAACTAAAATACCTACTTTCACCTTACTCAGATTGGATGGAATTACATTGAAGCTTTCCTCGGAAGCCAAATATCTTGGCGTCGTCCATGATTCCAAACTAAATTGGAGAAGCAATATTGAGGAGAGAACTAGAAAAGGACTAGCTGCATACTATGTCTGCAAAAAGACCTTTGGGAAGCGGTGGGGATTGTCACCGTACGTAGTATACGGAATGTATACGACGATCATCAGGCCCATTATTACCTACGGGTCTCTTGTCTGGTGGCAGGCGTTTGACAAAAAATGTAATTTAGCCCGCATCGGAAAAACACAGTACGCCTCAAGAGAGTTTAAATGTAATACTGCATCTCCAACCACTGTGGGTGTTTATTCAAGGTGGTGCTGCCAAAAGTGCTCTCAGACTTCAGGAGTCTAAGATGTGGAAACCAGCTAACTACGGACACCGTACAATTTTGAAGGAGATTAGCAGGAGGGGTCAGGGCTTAGCCAAGGCAGATCTAGACTCCGCTACAGACTACATAACACCAACACTAGACTTCAATACCAGAATTCCCACTCTTTATCCAACCAAAGATAGCTGGGAGCTTGGATGTGCGACAAGTAATTCTGCAGTTACCATCTACACAGATGGCTCAAACATGGAGAGCGGTACGGGAGCAGGTATCTTCTCGAAAGACATGCAGATAAGGCAGTCCTACCGACTCCCTGATACTTGCAGCGTCTTTCAGGCTGAGATATATGCTATTGAAAAAGCGGCTAACCTTATACTACAAAGTACAATTCGTCCATCGAATATCACGATTTTTGTAGATAGTCAGGCCCTGCTGAAAGCAATTGAATCTAAAACAGTTAAATCCAAGATTGTATTAAAATATCGCGCCTCACTGATGAGCATAAAACATCACCAGGTCTTTCTTTGCTGGATTTCTGGGCATAGCAATATCGAAGGGAATGAACTAGCAGATGAAATGGCCAGAAGAGGTTCTGCAATGCATAGAAGAAAAGCCGACCTCACAATACACACACCAATGTGTGAACTGTTTAGGAAAATAGAGGAAATCACCAACACAGTGACAAACAACTTATGGACTAACCGCGAAGACTGTGAGGTCGCTAGAACCTTATGACCGAGGTTGGACAAAAATAAAACGAAAAGCCTTTTAGGTTTCAGCAAATCTGCAGTTTGTGTGCTTACTGGAGTACAAACGGGGCACTGTGCCATTGCACCAATGCTCCAACGGTGGCGAGTTTCAACAAGCGGTTTATGTAGGAGTTGCCAAGATGAAGATGAGGGAGAATCTACCAACCACTTCCTATGTCTCTGTCCAGGACTTCAAACAAGGCGACTTCAATGTCTCAGAGATCGCTTTTTCGCTAGCTTGGACGAGATAACGAAAGTAAACTTATCGGATCTCCTCAACTACATCTGGAAAACCGAATGGTTCAACAAGGATCATAAAGGTTAGCAACTCGCCTCTCTCGGCAATATTTTTTGAGGGCATCACAATGGGCAAAATATGCCTCCGAGTGGAAGTGCTGACAATTGGAAACAGGCGCCTTCCGAACCTAACCTAACCTAATGGTCGATAAAAGTTAATCATCCCCAGGAAACGTCGTAGCTCTTTCACTGTTGCTGGAAGTGGAATTGCGGCTACCTTGCTTTCGGGAGGCTTGAAACCGTGTGAGCTGATGGAGTGGCCCAAGAATTCGATCTCGCTGCACCCAAATTCACACTTAGCAAAATTTACCGTCAGACTAGCTTGGCGAAGACGCTCGAAAACGGTTTGAAGATGTACTCGATGTTCTGCGGCGTCTTTAGAAGCGATCAGTATGTCGTCGATGTATGCGAAAACAAAATCTAGTCCAGCCAAGGTTGAGTTGATAAACCGTTGAAATGTCTGGGCTGCGTTTCGTAGGCCAAATGTCATGAAACGGAACTCGAATAAACCAAAAGGAGTCGTAATCGTCGTCTTTGGTATGTCGCATTCTGCCACTGGAATCTGGTGGTACGCCTTCTGTAAGTCAACCTTTGAAAACATGTTTTTTCCATGAAGAATGGTTGTCACGTCATGCAGGAAAGGGATCCGGTACCGGTCCGGCTTCGTTTGCGCATTCAACATACGATAATCGCCACATGGTCGCCACGTGCCGTCGTTCTTCAGAACCATGTGCAATGGGCTTGCCCAAGGATTCTTTAACGCCTGACAAATGCCTCTTTGTAACAAAGAGGCATGTCTGCAAAAAGACCTTTGGGAAGCGGTGGGGATTGTCACCGTACGTAGTATACGGAATGTATACGACGATCATCAGGCCCATTATTACCTACGGGTCTCTTGTCTGGTGGCAGGCGTTTGACAAAAAATGTAATTTAGCCCGCATCGGAAAAACACAGTACGCCTCAAGAGAGTTTAAATGTAATACTGCATCTTCTACCACTGTGGGTGTTTATTCAAGGTGGTGCTGCCAAAAGTGCTCTCAGACTTCAGGAGTCTAAGATGTGGAAACCAGCCAACTACGGACATCGTACAATTTTGAAGGAGATTAGCAGGAGGGGTCAGGGCTTAGCCAAGGCAGATCTAGACTCCGCTACAGACTACATAACACCAACACTAGACTTCAATACCAGAATTCCCACTCTTTATCCAACCAAATATAGCTGGGAGCTTGGATGTGCGACAAGTAATTCTGCAGTTACCATCTACACAGATGGCTCAAACATGGAGAGCGGTACGGTAGCAGGTATCTTCTCGAAAGACATGCAGATAAGGCAGTCCTACCGACTCCCTGATACTTGCAGCGTCTTTCAGGCTGAGATATATGCTATTGAAAAAGCGGCTAACCTTATACAACAAAGTACAATTCGTCCATCGAATATCACGATTTTTGTAGATAGTCAGGCCCTGCTGAAAGCAATTGGATCTAAAACAGTTAAATCCAAGATTGTATTAAAATATCGCGCCTCACTGATGAGCATAAAACATCACCAGGTCTTTCTTTGCTGGATTTCTGGGCATAGCAATATCGAAGGGAATGAACTAGCAGATGAAATGGCCAGAAGAGATTCTGCAATGCATAGAAGAAAAGCCGACCTCACAATACACACACCAATGTGTGAACTGTTTAGGATTATAGAGGAAATCACCAACACAGTGACAAACAACTTATGGACTAACCGCGAAGACTGTGAGGTCGCTAGAACCTTATGACCGAGGTTGGACAAAAATAAAACGAAAAGCCTTTTAGGTTTCAGCAAATCTGCAGTTCGTGTGCTTACTGGAGTACAAACGGGGCACTGTGCCATTGCACCAATGCTCCAACGGTGGCGAGTTTCAACAAGCGGTTTATGTAGGAGTTGCCAAGATGAAGATGAGGGAGAATCTACCAACCACTTCCTATGTCTCTATCCAGGACTTCAAACAAGGCGACTTCAATGTCTCAGAGATCGCTTTTTCGCTGGCTTGGACGAGATAACGAAAGTAAACTTATCGGATCTCCTCAACTACATCTGGAAAACCGAATGGTTCAACAAGGATCATAAAGGTTAGCAACTCGCCTCTCTCGGCAATATTTTTTGAGGGCATCACAATGGGCAAAATATGCCTCCGAGTGGAAGTGCTGACAATTGGAAACAGGCGCCTTCCGAACCTAACCTAACCTAATGGTCGATAAAAGTTAATCATCCCCAGGAAACGTCGTAGCTCTTTCACTTTTGCTGGAAGTGGAATTGCGGCTACCTTGCTTTCGGGGGGCTTGAAACCGTGTGAGCTGATGGAGTGGCCCAAGAATTCGATCTCGCTGCGCCCAAATTCACACTTAGCAAAATTTACCGTCAGACTAGCTTGGCGAAGACGCTCGAAAACGGTTTGAAGATGTACTCGATGTTCTGCGGCGTCTTTAGAAGCGATCAGTATGTCGTCGATGTATGCGAAAACAAAATCTAGTCCAGCCAAGGTTGAGTTGATAAACCGTTGAAATGTCTGGGCTGCGTTTCGTA